TTCCTTTTGATAAAGTGTTTCCTTAATATGGTATATTATTCTGTCATCTCTTGCACAAATGCAAGCCACACTCAGATTTCTACACTGCCAGCAAAAATTAAAGGTTATTGACAGAAATAAAACTCACTCATAGAAAGATGATTTATAAGTACACATAAATGCATTATTTAACATAAATTATTATGTTTGCCAGTTGATTCATCTCGAAATATAATTTAAATAAAATTTATAGGAACTTTAAAATGAAAAAATGCTCCTATCTCTCTTCAACAAATCTTTCCTTAATATGGTGCATGGTCACCTCTTACACAAATGTAATCCTCACAACTTGATTTCAAGCAATTTACTAAACTGGTAATCAAATCTCATGGACTTCAAACCACTCTTTTGAAAGTTCACTTTTCAGATCCTGGAGGGTTTGCAGAGGTATTTGGTACACTGCATTTTAGCAGCCTAAGACATCAAAAACATGCTCAATTAGTTTCAAGTCTTCTGAATAAGCTGGATAATCCATTCAAGTGATATCTTTTATTTCGAAGTATACTGACTCTCCAGAGATGCTCAATGTGGGGAAGCACTATCATTAAGTAACAAAAAATCTGAGTCAACAACAAAAATCTGAGCAAACAGTTTTACGTTCGGCTCCAAGATCTCTTCCATATACCTATTGGTGGTTACAGAATCTCCAACAATATACAGCTCCCTAGTGACATTTTTAATGATTATACCCTAAACCATAAACCTGCTTCCACAAAAGCTGGAACTTTCATAATGTAGAGATGGCAATTTGAATGTTTTTCACTCCTGGATCTAAAAGTGTACCGAATCACAGTTCTGGCTATATCTGGACTCCACACTAAACAGCACATGGGCTAATTCCTATTGGCTCCATTTAATACGAAAATGGCACAATCTTAAATTCATCCTTTTCTGCCTTTGGAAGACGAAGTGAGTGGTAGTGAAACCACTAGATTTCTTGAATTATGTCTAACCTTATAGACACTTCACGCAGCAGCAGAACAACAAATTCCCTGCCCTGTGGCAGCCTAATTGTTAGAAATCAACCCTCTAATAGCTTATTGGTTTCTTAAAACCAGAAGTGATAGAAAAAAAATCTTCATATATAGTTGTCCCCCTTAGCAGAGTATATACTATCTGATTCTCTGCTTTAAAAACAGTTTCAAGATCTTTGTTACGAAACCACGAGCAGATAGACAGAGGGCGCTGACTAACAGCGCTTGAGCAATGTAGATGTTTTTTAAATAAATAAACAGTTGAGAACTGAATAACGGGGGGAAAAAAGGGTCCTATGTAAAAACAAATGAAGAACTGTAACAAATGTTTGGTGATGTATGTTTTGTAAATAGAGTAAAAAAGTTTATTCTAATAGTTTCACACTATTGGATTTGTGAAGATCTACCCCTGAACTAAAGTACAAAGTGAATCCTAATTATCAATTTGATATTTTGTATTTTTTCGTAACATAACAATCTTTATTTTGAGGAATATTCAGATCTTAAATGACCTGAACTTGAGTTTGCCCCTACAAAGCATGCCTGTTAACCATCACTTTTGCCATCCACATCAATGACACCTTTGAATTGTGTCTAATGAGTACAGATCACTTTTTGAAAATCACAATAAACAGCTGCATGCCCAAATTTCACGGCACAACATGTTGTCAGTTACCTAATTTGCGTATTTCATGTGCTAACTCAGTGGTTTTAAATGCAGCACAATTTGAAAATAGCTAATAGACCAGATTTGTTATTTTACAAGGAACAGTTTTATTAACAAAATCCTTTAAATAAAATTTTATATTCCACTAACTAAATATTAATAAAACTATACATAAATAATAAAGTTTTTCCATAATAACATAGGAAAAAATTCAAATTCACCTATGTTTTTTATCTGAAATTTAAAGTTTGGAACTTGCAAGATATTTTTGTTCATTACACTTTATAATTCAAATATACTGACTAAATTAAACATTACATTTTCAAACTGATATTTGGTTTTATCAAATAATTCTAACGTGTTTAATTAATCATTAAAAACTTACTGTAATTTAAACAAAAAATAAACAAATTATGAAAACTTTTCGATGTTTTTATAGAAAATCTACAAACTGGTACAAAACTTGAGAAAAATCTAGTTTCTCTCTTATTAAATTTTTCTTCATCATATCCACAATGCATACATATGTTTATATTACTTGGTACAAGTGTCAGGTCAAGTGACCAGTGGTGCAAAGCTACCACCCAGAAAAATACACATGTTCATATGTAGTTAATTAAAACTTTGTTACTTCTAATTACAATTTCAAAATTAATCCTGATAAAATTTGTAGTCTTGGAGAGAAACTACTAGAACTTAACGTCATTATGGATTGTAGGTGCTCAACGGCCAACTGAGTTCTTTTCTTATTTTCAGCTGTGAAAAACGTGCTACTCACATATAACTCTGCGATTATTCTAAGAGCAAAAATTCGTAACTGAGCTTATTTATTTTTTCAACAGTACAAATGAAAGTTAATTAAATCTCTATCTTAAAATCTTTCAATAAAAATGATATCTCATTGTAAATTACGCAGCTCTATTTATAGATTTTCAAGTGCATTACTCATATACGTTTTTAATTTTAACACATACAGTACAAAGTCCGGAATGTCTAAAATCCAGACCCCAAAGCCACAAACATTTGGGGGGGGGAGAATGCTTTGCACATTTGATTTTTCCTTCCATAATAAAACGTGTGGAGATTTTAACTTAAAAATTCAGATTCTTAATTTCACTATATATAATACTTTGCTATGGAAAAATAAGCATAAATTTGTGAGATTAATAATTTGGCTCCGTAGTTGAGTATCTACTTGGCATATATGTCAAACCAAACATTCACCTATTTTATATTCCTGACTCCGAACTGGAGACTTTTTTTTTATATTAGTAATTGAATAACAAGAGTATGACAACCATTTATGCTAAGAATACTACGGCAATTTTATAAAAATTAAGCTTGAACTTTTGATTATGTCGAAAAGAGTTTCTAATTCTGGGGCTGCCTAAGGATCTACAAAATGAAAATCATCTTTCAATGTTGATTAAACAAAAAGTGGAATTACTGCAGAAAATGGATAAAGGCATATCTGTCTCAAAATTATGCGAGGAGCACAGCATTAGAAAGTCGACTGTATATGACATAAGAAAACAGAAAAAGGAACATTTTGAATTTTTTGTGGAAGCAACTTAAACAACTGAAATGAAATGTTTAATAAAGTAAGCAATTAACATATTAAGCTTTTGTTTTGTAAATTTTCATACCCTTTAGATCATAATTGTCCTTTATTTCATATTTTAACTGTATAATTTCTGTATGCCATCTTACCAGATTTAAATTGGTGATCTAATATCCGGAAAAATTCCAAACCCAGAATCGGCAAAGTCCTGATAAGTCCGGATTTCGGACTTGTACTGTATACGTTTAATTCGTTTTTAATGGAATTTAATTTTTATTAAAAAATTTTGAAATCTTTGCAACAAATATATAACTTGAAATGTCTTTGCACGCCACATAAAATTGCTGTGAGGGCCACCAGTTGAGCATATGACTACAAGTCCAATTTTACGTTCTGTTTGAGACAATTAACATAAATACTCCGGACATTCGTTGAAATCAGTAAGCATGTGTTTTCAAATTATCCTTCAACTTTCTGAATAATGTACAAACAAGGCATTTAAAAGAAAGATTATTATTCGAAAAATAATTTTTAAATGTAAATGAATGGAACACATTTATTAGTTGCTTAATGTAATTTTTTAAGTACACTACCTGACATTGAAATGCAGCAACACCAAGAAGGAGTGGCATGACAATTATGTAAATTTCAAGGTAGACTCATGTCACTGAGTTATGCAAGTGATGTGAAAGGTGCAGCTTTCCAGTGCACATGGAAGATGTAAGAGAAGGAACTTGTAGTGTCCATTAAGAGGACTGGTATTGAAACCAACGTCTGCAATGGTGCCAGGATCGAGTGATGTGGACGACGGAAAGGCAGAGGGTCGTGGTCTCAGTTGAGTCATGCTTCTGCTTCTCCAATGATAACCACCACTGCGTGCGTACAAGTATGCCATCGATGCGGTGACAGTTTCAATTTAGCAGCAATTGTGGAGTGCGATAATCCAATATCACAGTTTGGGGCACAATCGCACGTGATCCAGGTTACCTCTAGTTCGCATTCAGGATACTGTGATAGATGATCATGATGTGAAAGATTCGTGGATGATGTGCTGCAGTCAGTGACATTCCTCTTTTTTCAAGTGTGCTCAATGACCCACCACACACAGCTAGCATCCGCCAGCATGCACTGCAAGGTGTACAGATGCTTCTCAGACCACCATTCTCTCCTCATCTCGCACAATTCGAACGCATCTGGGATGTTTTTGTATGTCATTTGCAGACCCTGCCACTGCCGCATTCAGAAGATGAACTCTGGCAAATGGTTGACAGAGAATGGAGAGCCATTCCTGAGGACACCATCTGTAGTTTCACAGATGCTGTACTTAGAGGTGTTACTTTGTGTATCACCGTCCAAGGTAATTCTACAACATACTGACCTAAAGCTGTTCTCGCTCTGTATTATACATATCATTTTGAAATAGAGATCACTTATTGTTTATTATTGTCTCTCTCCGTTTTCAGAGTTTCATCACTTTCTGGCCATACAGTTTTGGTGTTGCACTTTCAATGGTGGATAGTGTATCTAAAACTGAAACTGTACATTTTTAAATGCTCCTTTTTATGGGTGTTTGTTCTCCAATCATTACTCAGCTATTCAATAAAATATCACACACAAAACAAAACAAAAAAAAAAAAAAAAAAAATCCAACTTCATCACTATACTAACATTCAATCCCAAGATTACGTTTTCACATCCCAAATTTGCATTGCTATTTGTTTCAATAGCAACAACTACAAGCTTCATACATTTAGTTATGCACATAAAATAGTAAAACTGATTCAGAATCATTCATATTGTAGTATTATAAGTATTTTCAAATGCATAAAGCTGAAAAATGTAATTAAATATATCTCATATTCACAATGTAAGACGAAAATAAATTTTGCATTTAAGGTGAAATATGTAACTATTACACACAAGCAGAAAAACAACAAACACACAAAGTGATGATTTTAAAGTGCCCAAATCAGATAATAAACCTATTCAAGCATTTGAGAAATATTGTATGTTAATTTATTTTTAATGTGATAATGACCTCAGTTCCTTACAATTAATAACCATAAAATGATAGGCAAACAATCACAAATCTAAAAATCACGTATTTTCAAATCATATGCAATCCCAGCTAATAGCAGAAAATTTTAGATAATCGTAAATTATTAAAATTTTATAATTACAAATACAAAGTCACAAACACAATGTAATATATTTGCAAAATCCATACTAACAACAACAGCACATGAAAATGGCCAGGTAGAAAGAAACCAAAAATGATGACTCATTCCAGGACAAGGACTACTGAAAAATACCATGGCTTTCTATCATGAGGATCATGGTCCAATTCATTTTATGGGAAGTAAATATCATGAACTGCAACCCACCTACCTGGTTTTGATACTTTTCAAGGCCATAGATGTGCTAGCCAGACTATTTTTTATTCGATGTCCTTCATCACAAATTACTAAATCAGGACCAGGTATAACAATATGCTCATACATTTCTATTGGAAGATAATAAAGATTCACATAATTTACTCTTGAATATTTCAAAAATTTAATATGTAACAATAAATAAAAATTTCCATTACCCATTCAGGACCAATGTCGCGTTGCAATCTTACCAGCCAAGCTTAGCTTATATGCCCAGCGTTGCGCACATGTAAATTGAAAATGGAACGATTTTTTTTTCTTTGAGAATTTTTAAATGCCAGTAGATGGTGCTAAATTATAACAGATTTCACATCAGTTTAATCATGTGGCTTTTGACCTTCATGTATAAGCATCAGTTTCTGTTCTATGCTTTTGGTTTTGACAGAAATATTGGTGTAAATACATTGTGATACACAGCTGTTTAAGTTAAAGGGACACCGTGTTTATTCCGTTAGGAATTTTTTTTTTTTTTTTTTTTTTTTGTCTTCATTCTTATTCTTAGAATGTGGAAAAGTGGATCCAGCTGAATGTTTTCTTTTTTTTTTTTTTTTTTTTTTTTTGTTAGAAAAATAGGGAAAAATGAATCTAGCTGACTGCAGCAGGTGTAACGTCGCCAAACTTCCATGATGGAAAAACTCAGATCAGTTGTCCTTTTTTATATTTATTTTAAAACATCACATAGACTTTCTTGGTTAATTAAAAAGTAACTTTACAGCATTATTACAGAAGGGGAAAGACATCAGCTTTCTCAATGCGCTATGTGTCTCACTTGCTCGACGAAAAAAGGCCATCATTGGCTCGTGTGTTGATCCTCAATTTCATTTATTCCATACACAAACGAAGTATTAAATTGAATTTGATTACCCACGGATAATTATTGCTTAATTTTCTTTTACATTTTATATTTGTAATTTTATTTTCATGTGCATAGTTTTTATTTTAGCATTTCGTATGTTTTGTTTATTTCTATTAATATGATATTCTTTATATTAATACATATTAAAAATTAGCATATTCAGTAAGTAATTTCAAAAATTAAGGTCATTATATTAAAATGCTCGTTTTATATGAATGTTTTTGTAAAAGTAGGCATAACTGCTGAAAATATGTGGGCCGGTAGTGATGTCCCATTTCGGTGGGGTTCAGTCTCGTGCATTGGCCCTCAAGGGGGTAAAAGCTTTCAAGACACATATCACTTCACATTCAACAAAAAGTTTCAATATATTCTTGAATGGAAAGAAAATTTTATAATGCTATTATATTAATATGAATGTAACAAAAATTACCATCCATGTACTTCTTAATCTGTTCATTTGTTTCAGGTTCCACACACAACTCTTGTTTCTTAAGGCGTTTACTTTTCTTTACTGGAACTTTGGGCATTTTTCTTAATGCTAACATTCTATACATTTCATAACCCATCAGTAACACGCCACCTTGTTTTCTCCATTCAGCTAAACAGGCAATAAAATATTACAGGAAGGCAGCTTCAAAACCAATTCTTGTATAGAAGAAAAAATAAAACATCAAGTACAAAACAATTACACTGACAGCTACAATGATGTTATAATAATCATAAAACTCTGATAAATAAATTGTACAAAATAAATTTTAAGCAAAGCAGTGTTAATATGGTTAAGGATTTCATTCATTAAGACATATTAGATGAATCTTTTGAATTGTCAGTTTTCAATTTCCATATTAATAAAAAAATTCCTTTCTATAATGCCTGCCCTATGATAAGATTAGAAGCATTTTTTATATTTTCCATGCTTGTGTCTAGTAAAAAGTAGAGGAAGAGAAAACTGATGCATATTCTGAGAATTCTGAACATTCTGAGAAATGGGAAAAAATCTTACCATGAAAAAAATTAAAAAGACGTTTTGAATTAATTACATAGCTATTTTGCTTTTGTTAAAAACTGTTTTGTAAACTGTGCTTTACAGCATTATACCTTGCTTATTTTTCAGATTCAAAACATTGTATAATATGTGGCCAAAATGGAACTTTATGATATGACCGTGAAAAATAAAAATGCTTTCTTTTAATGTTATTTCTTAAATATAATTCCAATATATTACCATTATTTTAATGAAATTTATCAGTGTTAGAATGTTCTAAATGGTTCAAGAATTTCCTAGATCTGGTAATTAAAAATTTTCCATGGAAACCAATCTTAAAATCACGAAAATGTTGATAAGTTGCCATATTTAGAACCATTTTAATAAAAGAATTCACATCCCCAAAAGTAGAAAGTTGTTTAAGAGCTCTTAACTGCAAAAAATGAAATAATTTCGAAATGCTTATGTTTCACTTCTTGCTCAGAAAATCAAGTATCCCACCATTTATATTACAAATAGGAACAAACTATAAGCGATGAACCATTAAAAAAATAACCATATTTATCAGTGAATCGCCAAAAATATTGCTGCAAAATGCTAATCACACTCAAAATAGCAGTCATAAAAGCAGACGGAAATTTCAGATTATTAAAATTAAGGACCAAAATTTGATTCCAGAAAACTTAAGGACTTTTGGACTGTATGAACCCTGCTTAATACTGTGAAGTTGCTGTGAACTAACTACTACTGAGAAACTGATGCTCTCCCTGGTGTTATATAGCTTTCCCCTGGCCGATAAGCGATCTCTAGCATCTTCTTGAAATTATTGGAAAGCATATGAGGATCAGGTACAGTTACAATTATCTATAGGGATGAATTACAGTTATTGAATTACAAAACCCATTACAATTCTACAGGAACCGGGCCAAAGAGCCACCGAATGGTCACCAAGTGGCTATTTCCCATCAAATCTGGCGACAAAAATTAAGTCGCTAATGCAGTTGGCGGCTAGGTCACTTACTCAATGTTAAATAGATTTGTCTGGCAAAGCTTCATTTCTTTAGATTTTCATATTACATTATACAAAAAAATACTACAGTTTCACATATAATTTCACAAAAATTATTTATATATGTACAAAATCAGTAATGATACAAATGAATACAGTTAAATAGGACCAAGCATTAAAAAAATGCTTACAGGTCTCCAAAAATTCTTAAATGATGTTATCTTGATGAGGATGGATATTATCATTTATAAGGAAGAAATCACCATTGAATGTGCGATGTTTGATGATATTCTGGTTCTATACATGTTATTCTTTCGAGACTCCTATAAATTTATCACCTCTTTTAGAGCAAATCTGGTCATGTCATCACCATGTTGCAGCAATTGGAGACAGTCCAACTGAGATTAACAAAAACATTTAATCTTGCTCCTCTGGAGTAGGCAATTATATTGGAACATACACACTTGTTTCTGAAGCATACATTCTCCTCAAGTAAAGTCTTCAGTGCACTTTACAAGCAGATATTGTTAAGTGAAACTGCTACCAGTCATGTACCAATTGTGAGGGTTGCTCGTCAATTCTCTTTGGCTACTTGTGGTGGTAATCTTTGGTAGACTGGGAATAGCTCGCCGAACAACTGTCTGATTTGCTTAAAACAGTTTACATATTCCAGAAATTAACAATGGAAAAAAAAGGGGGAGGAGAGTGGGATATCTTGGACTGTCAACTTCAATATGTTCAACCGCATACCAATGCTCATCCTGTACTAATCACTCTTTCAGCTATACAAACAAGAAAAGCATCAATAATCTTGCTACAAAAATTCAGTATTTAAATTAACTTTCTCAAGCCCTTCAGATTGCTGAGTCTTCAACTATTTAGTAACTATCACATGTTTTGCCAGTGAATTGCGACTGACTGTTAACATACAATGTTTGCATACTGCTTTCTGCATGCACGGTGACATTTCAGCCACTCAGATTAAACTATACTTTCGAAAAGTGCTGAATTGAATTGCAAGCTTGGGAAGCCAATGAGTGTGTGTATATACGTATACAGTCAAAAGTTGTTAATCCGGACTCGTCGGGACTTCGGCGATTCCGGATTATCGATTTTTCCGGATTATAGATCATCAGTTTAAATCTCGTAAGATGGCATGCAGAAATTCTAAAATTAAAAATATGAAAGTCCAGAAACTGAAGAAATCCATAATGTGATCACCGAAATTTAACTTCCGAATCTTCCAGATGTGACGCGAATGCTTGCAATAACACGGCTACGGCAATGTAAAAGGAGGGAGAAAATATCATACATTCTCCTCCTTTTCTAAAGGGTTGACACATTCGTGAAATCCTGGAGGCTACAAATTATTGTCTGCTACCAGTACAGTAGTCTTTTAGAATTTTTTGAAGTCGGGAAACTAAAGAAATCCGCAATGCAATCACCGGAACTCAAACTAAGGGCATCTTGAATATAGATGGAGTGTGCTAGCAATTATACCATTAAGGCATTGAAAAAAAAAAAAAATACATCATAATCTAATATAAATACTCCTACAGTTACAAAAGATTTTCTCCTTTTATGACAATGTATTTAAGACACTAATTCTTTAAACACATGAATCTTGTTTAAAGCATCACACGTATATACATAAATACACCATACATGAAAAATGTTCATTTATTTAAGAAAATACACAATTATTTCAAATCAATTAACCCACTGTCGGGAATGTACAGTCACACTAGAATTTATAAATGTACTGGTATTAAAATTAATTTAATTTATAACAGAATTAAAGGAATCATATTTTATCATAAATTAAAAAATCCTACCTATTAAAGCAGCTCTAGCTGCCATAGTTTTGAAGTTTTCATTTAGTGTGTACACATTATAATCTCGAGGTCGGACTTCACCACCTAAGACCTGTGCATCATCCACAGAGTTTGAAGGTGGAACCCACATGTCAAATTCAGCTTTCCAGTTCTGAATAGTGTTAATTGGTACAATGCACAAAACCAAAGTTGCAGGCGTATGTCGTAGGAAAACGTCAACAAATGACACAACCTAATTAATATACATAAGGATAATTAAAAAAATGAAAAGAGTAATTAAAGAATATTTTTTAAACATTCCAATTTTAAATTAGATATGCTGTTACCTGGACTGTTTTGCCTAGCCCCATGCTATGGGCAAGAATGCAACCAAAACCACTAGAAGACTTGTACCTCTCCAGATTTTCTACAACATTGTCATATAAGAAACGAATACCACCTATCTAAAAAGTAAGATGTACAAGATTTAAATCTTCAGTTAGCAGAATTAAATATAAATCTACATTCAGAAGTCAAACAACAAAAATCAGCGTCGGTTTTGCAGCTGAGGATGGTGGTTTGGTAAAACCATCGAAACTGTCCTGCGAAAATTTTTGAAAATATAACGCTCATTTTTGTTGTTTGACTTCTGAATTAGTATTTATTCGGCATGCTATTGTGTCTTAATTATAAATCTACATGTAAATATAAAAAACATAATGGTCATTCTTTAAGTAAATGATTCTAACACAGAAATCTTATAAAACTGCACCTATGCACTGGCTTTTATAGCGCTTTATATTTATAAAATGTGAGATCTTTACTAAACCTATAACACATACAAGGTTGTTGCTGTGCTAATTTTATGTATAACTTTGGTGTGTTTGTTTCTCTTCTCTTTTAATTTTTCCTAGCAGCCTGCATTTTCAAGGAGTTTCATTTAGTTTTTATCGTTTGTTTACTTGCACCATTTTGGTTTTTAGGATTTTGGCAACTACAATGTTGTTGCTTTGCTAATTTTATGTTTCACTCTCGCATGTTTCTCTTCTGTTTAGAGCTGTATATTTAACTAAATGTGAAAAATAGTTTAAAAAAAAAATGTTTACAAACAGCATTATCTGTGACCAAGAAACTTTCATAGGTCATAGCCAAAACATTTACTTTTGAATTCTTTCCTATTCTACAAAAGTTTTATTGTATAAATAATTAATATAAGAAAATAACTATATTTATTTGCCCAATCTCTAGCATTTTGAAAGTATGATTTAGAAACTTTTCAATAATTGACATAATTTCTACTTAATACTTGAACTCAGCAAGTGGGTTCTTACACATAAATAACCAGTTTTTGAAGTTAATGAGATACATTATACTTTCCATCATACATTCCTGACTTCTATCTCCAGGACATATCAAGACAAGAGAACAAACTTTTACATACTGGTTGAGAGAATGTACCTTTGGCCTTCGGGGGAATGCAAAGTAGTTTTAATAGTTGAATGCTATCCCACTGTCTATCTTTGTGGTTCTTCTTCAAGAACTAGAATTATAAGACACTATAGGCAATGAAAATACACTACAATTATATTTTCCCTTAGCTCTTTTTCAAAATTTATTGGCCCACTCTTTTAGTTATGAGAATCCACAGGTATAAATTACGGAGTTGAAAAATAAATGTTGCATTTATCTGTAATTTAAAGCATAAAAAACACTGCACAATGCACCTAATTCATGTATGCAATCCTTCCCCTCAGAACTGATGCATACAGCATAATTTCCCCTCTTGATTTCCAAATAGTAAAGTTGCAGAAAATGGGTAGAGGGAGCACTTAAGTAAATATGGTATCAGCTGATATTTTCCCTTTTTTGTTACTACTTTGCTTCAACTAATTTTTATGGCTGATATTAAAATAACTGCTCATCTACACAGAAATGAATTAAATGAACATTTTAGCAGCTTACTGTGGAGACTTGCCTACTACAACTCAACGCTGCCAGTCTGGTAAATCATAGCAAGGAAAAACAAAATAATGCTCATTCTATTGTTAATATTATTAGCGATCTTTTTTTTATCATCTACGCTTTATTTATTATTTTTCAAAACGGCTTACTATACTAATTATTTTATTAAAAGCAGAGCGTAATTTATTCATCTAAAAAATTTTACTACCATAATTGGTGACCTGGATTTATTATGAATAGCAACCTTCAATGTTGCACAAATATGAAGTTTGTATGTCAAAATTCTGAGCAACAGTAAATTATCCAGTGTGATGAGATGCAAATAAGACATTTCACCTGTGATTTCAAACGCGCCGTATTCCGGCAAGTCAACATATTTCTGTCACAATTTTAGCGGATATATGTATCGTCTGCTGCATTTGAGCCGCGAATTTCTCAGATAAGAAATTGTGTCACTATATACATATTATTATTGTGCATATTTGATTAATCTAAAATGGTTGACAATGATGCTGCTTCACAATTGGTGGAAGTGGTAGTTAAGCCACCACCTTTTTGTCGCCGAGGCCCATCATTATGGCTCATTCAATTGGATGCGCAGTTTAAATTGCGTCACATCACTGCCGACGAAACTCAATTTTATACAGCGATCGCTGCATTAGAATCAGAGGTACTGCAATCAGCTCGTGAAATAATTTTGAGTATAACGGCAACTGACAAATACAAACCTTTAAAAAAAATAAATTCTGTTTATGAAGAATGCGAGACAGTTAAAATCAAGCAGCTGTTGCAAGATTTACAGTTGGGTGATATGAGGACTTCTCAATTGCTGTCTAAAATAGTTAGCTGCCGGTAACCTAACGGATAACATTCTTAAAACATTATGAATGAATAGACTCCCATCTAACATGCAAGCCATTTTAGCGGCCAGTAATGAGCTACTTAAAAATCTACACGAAATCACAGATAAAATTCACAAGCTGGCCATTCCAGTGCAAATACACACAGTGCAGGCTCCTGGTCCGCGTACTGTGGCATTACAGGTTCAAATTGATGATTTGTCCAGATTGCTCAGTTAGTAGCCATCCAAGCTGAACCTTTTCAGCGCAACTGCTCCACATCACGTGGTCGAAATAAATGTTTTAGCCTACTGAGGAAATGTTATAAAAGCCCTCCTCCAGGTATATTTTTACCACCACAAATTTGGAAACAAGGAAACAAATGCCACCCACCGTGTCGTTATAACGATCAGAACGAGAAAGGCCATCGCTCGAAGTCATGAACAGCAGCCGAAATTTTACATGCCTTTTCGTCAATGATAAGAATTCGGGCTTCAGGTTTCTTGTACACACCGGGGCTGATGTTTCTGTTGTTCCACCACATTTTCACGAACAAAAGCGCCTTACCAAGTTACAACTTTATTCAACAAATGGAACTCCTATTAAAACTTTTGGTGAATGCCTGATATCTGTTGATTTAGGTTTGTGCCGCAACTTCCAATGGCTATTCATTTTTGCTACTTTTTCAAGTCCTATTATTGGCACTGACTTTTTACAAAAATTTTCTTTGCTTGTCGATCTTAAGAATCGCCGTTTGATAGATTCCACAACCAACTTAACTTATCCGGAAGTAATTCGCAATAGTCAAGATTTGAGCATTAAACTGATTTCGGGTAACTCACCATGACATCAATTTCTCACAGAATTGCCTACAATCACGCGCCCAGTTATAGGTATTTCTGAACCCAAGCACGATGTACTACATTATATTGAAACTACCGAACCTCCAATTGCCTTTAAACCAAGACGCTTACCTCCGGACAAGCTTAAAGCCAGAAAAGAGGAATTTCAATACATGATGGAACAGAGAATTTGTCGTCCTTCAAAAATTTCAGGGACCAGTCCACTCCATCTAGTTCGGAAATGAACAGCATGTAATATTCTGTCTCAAAAATTGTACTTCCATACTTACTTCCACAAAGGTTCAAATTAATACTGGTTTCAGGCTAAACTTTTTATTCTTCCAGTACATATACTATTTCAAATTTCTGAACATATTTGAAGATACATATCATGAAATATGTTTTTAACTTGTACAATATTTAGCAGATTCATCTCCCGCACCTTTTGCAGTTTCATGCCACAGCAATCCTTCAACCTCACTCTAATGGATTCCTGGTTCTCGGATTATTCGAAATCTAAGGTGTGCATATCAAATTCACAAGATTTGTCAGAATTGTGCTATAAAACATGAAATTATTCAGATTCCTCCTGTGATGTTACATTCTTCATTGCTGTTGAGAATCTCCTGCATGTAATGCATTATCATTTGGTGGTCGTGTGCTTAATGCATGATATAATTAAAGAAAATAAGAGTAGACAATCTCCTATAACAAAAGAATATATTAAATACTAAATTGCAATTTAAATTACATTGCAGAGATCAACACAGAGCTCGGAACACAGTTCATGCTAGCGTCGCGTACAGTTGTCTCACGAGAAGTCTGAGTGAGTAATGACGTCGCTTTGCTGCTCCGATTAAGGACTGGATTTTACACGTGGCGCCATCTCATGAATAGAAGTTGAAGTATCTGTCGGAACGCCACGGTACTCCCCCCCAAGTACCATCGGTACGTTATAAGTACTTTGGGTTAAATTTAACCTTTCTTCCAGATCTGGTAGTTTTAGGTTGCTCTTTAACGGGATGTAAGCTTTCTTCTGGGAGTGATGTTGATGAGGAAGTTGTTGGATCTTGCATTAGAAATGCTGGTTTGAGACGATTGATTCCAATCACTGATTGTTTACCATTGCAGATGATGGTGAAATGTTTCGGTGTTCGTTTGACAACTTTGAATGGACCATCATACGAAGGTGTTAAAGTTGGCTTAATTGCACCGTTGCGCACGAATACGTGCGAAGATGTCTCAAGCGCAGGATGTACAAAATAGCTTGGCTGGTTATGCGAAGATGCTGGGGTTGGCGAGATATTGCTCATGGTCTCACGTAAACGTTGAAGGAATGTTGGAGGGTCGATAACTGGAGTAGATTCTGGGTGAAAGAATTCACCTGGCAGACGGAGGGTTGCACCATATAACAGTTCAGCACAAGTGCTACCAATGTCTTCTTTGAATGCTGTGCGAAGACCAAGAAAGACTAGAGGTAAGGCTTCTGTCCAGTGTGTGCTACTGTGGCACTTCAGACCTTGTTAGAGAGATCGGTGAAAGCGTTCCACCATCCCATATCCAGATGGATGGTATGGTGTTGTGCGAATATGGCGAATGCCAAGAAGAGAGGTGAGGGATGCGAACAAGTGACATTGAAATTGTCAGCCTTGGTCAGTAGTGATGGTGGTAGGCATGCCAAATCTTGAAAGCCACTGGGAGATGAATGCTCGAGCTACAGTTTCATATTATTATATATATATATTTTCAATAGGAATGAACCATTTGAAGGAGGCAATGGGCAACCAAGTCTAAGTGCACATGATCAAAGCGTCTTGCTGG